TTAGATCTCAGCATTTTGGCCCAGATGAGGTCAGTGTCAATGGGCTCCTCGCGAGGGTTAGTGGAGCTGACCTGCAGCATCAGGCTCTCGCAGGGGGCACCCGTTAGTGTAGCCAGGCCTTCGATAGCGCGCCCCGCCTGGAGGGCAAAGTACGAACCGTGGAGCTTGGCCAGCGCCTTCTCAATGAGGGCAACCCACAGCTGCTTCCTCTGCGCCTGCGGAGAGAGGGAGAAACACGGCTTGAGACACTCCGGGCTGGAGATGGAAAAAGAGAGGGAAAAAAAGAAGAGAGAAAAAAAGAAGAGAGAAAAAAAGAAGAGAGAAAAAAAGAAGAGAGAAAAAAAGAAGAGAGAAAAAAAGAAGAGAGAAAAAAAGAAGAGAGAAAAAAAGAAGAGAGAAAAAAAGAAGAGAGAAAAAAAGAAGAGAGAAAAAAAGAAGAGAGAAAAAAAGAAGAGAGAAAAAAAGAAGAGAGAAAAGAGGAAAAGGAGCACACGCAGACAGGGCAAAGCCCCGCTCCCCCGCCCCTGCCAGCCCCCCGCTGCCACGGGGCAGGAGCTCGTCCGCGCGAGGCCAAGCGTGGCCCCATTCACTCCCTGCTCAGTGTCCTGTTTGCACAGCTTCATTCCCCTCGTGAAACCATCCTGGAGTGAGCGCCCAAGAGGCCCGGACGCCGACAGAGCTGCACCCTGGGGTGCCCAGGCAGTCAGGCTGGCAGGGGTGGGTGCCCACCTTGTAAGTTCCTTTTGTCTTCTTCAACCTGGATTTAAAAAGGTTTAATAATGGAAGAGGACGTGCAGCACATCTGGAACAGCTGCCTTTTGCTCGCACACCGTTGCAAACCAAACACACCTTTGGCGGAGGAGGCTGCACACACGGCTGTGGGACTGATTAGATTTCACGCATGGAACAGAGACGCTGTTTCAAGGACAAGCTCCAAAAACTCCCAGGCAGCCAGGCAAACTCCTCTACTCCAGCGCAGGGACAGCGGCAAGACTCAATTACAAGGTGCAAGTTTTGCAGGAGGGAACTCTCCCCGGAGCTGCGTCGCTCCGGTGCCAGGCTATCACTCTTGGCGTTGCTGGGCTGCGTACAGATTCAGAAAGGAATGCAGAAGCTGCATGAATGCACCCAGAGGTCTGCAAAGCCTCCATCGGCCGTGTCAACGCAGGCTCGGGGCGCAGCCTTCACCGTGTCCAAGGCACCGTTGCGGGTCCTCGGCGTGCTGCAGGGTGCTGTCACCGGGCTTCACTCCTGGACACGGTTCAGGCGGGGAGACGCCTCCGCTCCAGCCCCTGCCTGCAGCGAGGATGCGAAGAAGAAGGCGTAGGAGAACAGAAGGCAAGGGGACATTTGGTGGCCACTGTGTCCCCAGCAAATTGGGTTCAGTACCTGGTGCTTGGAGGGCAGCAGGGGAAAAGCACTGGGACGTGGTGGCCGCGTGTGACTCGCAGGTGGCAGCCGAGAGCTGGGAGAGGAAAGGACGGCAGCAAAGATCTCCCTCTGATGGATAAAGAAAGCTTACAAGTGCTTTGCACTCGTTTTTGAGTCACTCAACTAAATCCATGCTGTTTATTTCTGCCTGAGGCACAGCCAGGGAGCGCTGATAAAAGCCCGATTTTCCTTTATTTTTAAAACTCTCTGGTTTTCCATTTTTAGCCCCCACGTTCAGCTCACGCAGCTAAACGCTCGGCAGAAAAAACTCGTCACGATTCAGATACCACTGGAAACAAAGGCAAGGAAAGCCCAGCCTATGTGAAACTCTTCAATCTTCAAAAAAAAACCAAATGCAGACTTGAAATTTTAAGAGAAGAAAGATGGATGGAAAAGAGAAAAAAAAACAAGACAGGTAAATCTTATGCTGAAAAGAATGTGACTGGATCCTCTCTGTCTACTGTGCAGCAAAATGTAGATGCATTCTCCTCCTTCTTCCCCTCTCCACAGTTTCTCCTTAACAGGAGGGGCACCCAGCAGCGCTGGCCATCGCCTTGCCCCCCTCAGTGTCCCCATGTCCTGGGGGATCCCCCCCTCTGCCGCAGAAGCAGCCAGGCAGCCCCGGCTTGGCAGGGCCACACCTGCACGGCGCGAAGCCCCTGCCCGCACCCCTGCCCTCTGCGGAGCGGGGCTCAGGAGCCGGCGCTGCCAACCGTGCCGG